TGGCAGATTCTTGAAGCGTTACTACCCCTAAACCAAACAAGCAATGCTCATTGCCTGCATGGGCCTAAACTGCACGCGACACTAAGCTCTTCACCTGCATAAGCCTAAATTGCACACAACACAAAGCTCCTCACATGCACGAGCCTAAACTGCATACGACAACAATTCTCCTTATTTGCACGAGCTTAAATTGTGACACCCAATGCTCCTTGTTCGCACGAGCTTAAAATGTGACACCCAATGCTCCTGGTCTGCAAGAGCATAAAAGGTGTAGGGCAATACAAAAACAAAACAAATTCAAAATCGTCATCAAAATCACCATTAAAACCGTCAAAACCATAAAAAACAATCCATCACTCTTTTGAACTACATCATGATTTAATCCCTCCTCAAACGAGGGTACGTAGCCAACTTGAAACTTCAAAACTTCAAGTACAGTCACATTACCAACAAAAAAATGCAAACACTTTGAAGAATAAAGAGAAAATTCAAATTGTGAATACTTTATTTTGGAAGAAGTCGGCTCCAAAGCCTTATTAAAAAAAACAAAGAAAAAGAAAAGAAGGCTTAAAGTACAAAGAACGGAAGACACTACTTGAAAGCTATGTCCCTAAAACTACGGTGACGATCTTTAAGCAAGCCTTCCAAAGTCTTCAAAGTCTCCACATTGGTGGGAGACAAGGTGGGCAACTCCATAGCCGTGCCTTTCTCTTACTCTAGGTGTGAAATCTCCTCTTGATGCTGAGAAAGTGTAGCTTTCTGCTCCGAGGGAACATCTTGAAGTTGTGATGCTTCGATTTCCAACTGCTCTTGCTCTCGCGCTAATGCTTTTAGACGCATGAATGATGGAAGGATGGTGATCATAACTAAATAAAGATGCGTACAAAACATGATAAAGGACTACGTTGGTAAGCATATCTTTAGGCTCAAGACATCTTCAAGCCACCCCCAATAAAACTCAGCAAAGACAGCCTCTCTAGTAGTAGATAAGATGCCATTCCAAGTCATAGCTCTGCTACAGATGCGATCGACAAGAAGCTCAAATGAAGCCGGTGGATTGTCACGAATAGGGTGCGAAGGATTCAAGATAAGAATCCTCAACATACACGCATTCTTCTTCGTATTTGGTCGACCAAAATTTGTCACCTCCCAAGATACTTCAGAAGACCACGACTTGATATGCATCGAGTTGTGTTTTGTAGGAAGAACAAGCACCTTAGGGCTAGTCAACGGCACATAAAGCTTCAAAGTCGTTCCCTTATCTTGCGAATCGCCTTCGTTTGCAAAAATGATGATGGTATTGCTCTTAAAGCACTTGAAAAATACCATGGCTGCAATAAAATAAACAAGGCAACATAAGCATATGAGTGGGGCTGCAAGAAGAAAATATTGCTTGACTAAAGCAAAAGATGTGTGAGATGAACCTCGTGAGTGTTGAAAAATGACGATGACAAAGTCACAACGACGAAAAGAAATCAGTCACAAAGCTTGAGCAGGACAGCAAAGAGGGCAGTTACAAGACGGTCCTTCAAAGCACGCTACAGTAGCAAAGAAAACCAAAATGCTACGCAACCCCGCAGCGATTATGCAAGCAGTTTCTTGCATTGCACGACAATGTCACCATCGAAGGAAACTGCGACCAAAAGGCACTACACATCATAACCTCGTTGCAGTCTTTTGCACAGCACCACGCGGTAAAAAATGACGTATTGCAACAAGCTCCAAACACCAAAACTCATGGCAGTAGCAACAACAAAAATAAATAAATAAATAAAAATCCTATGGCAGCAAGTAGAGTCAATATGCACGACAAGGTTTGTTGTGCCAAAAGACACACCTAATTGTCCTATAAATAATGATCAATTTCTTCCTAATGCTATAGGGAGAATACATACCTAATAGCAAAAGGAAAATCAAAAGAAGGAAGTACATTCCAACCAAAAGAAGGGAGCAAATTCCAAGCAAAAAATGGCAAGGTGATTTCAGCCACAAGGAAAAAAAACATGTTGTTTTTGCAACAAAATCAGCAAAGAAAAGAAAAAAAAAGAAAAAGGAAAGGGCTTCAAAATTTCCAAAACATCAAAGGAAAGTACCTTTCCTCGCCAAAATACAAAAGGTAATCCCTTCAAAGCAAGGACAAGTCTTCAAGTTTCCCAAACCAAGAGGGAAAACACTCCCTTGGCCAAAAAAAAAAAAAATGGAAAGGAAAAGGAAAAAAAAAAAATGCAAATCCTACTTACCCAAAGACAAACATTAAATCTTTCCAAAACCTTGAAGGAAATCACCTTTATTGCCAAAATTGAAGGACCTAAGGAAGGAAAAAACCTTTTCCCCACACCCACAAGGAAAAAATCCATGCCTCAAAATACACCAAATGTATTTTGTCAAAAAATTATGGAAAATCAATATGCACAATAAGTATGTGCCGCTTTATCCATTTTCAAAATTTTCATTCAAGATCAAGCCTCTACAACTCTTGAAGAAAATTTCCATTTCATTCAAGATTAAGCCTTTACGGCCCTTGAAGAAAATTTTCATTTCATTCAAGACCAAGACTCAACGACCCTTGAAGAAATGTTTCGTCCAAGAAAAACGCCTCAACGATCCTTGATGAAATTCATCATTTCAATCCAAGAAATACGCCTCAACAACCTTTGAAATACGCCTCAACAGCCCTTGACAAAATTCATCATTTCAATTCAAGAAATACACCTCAACGGCCCTTGAAGAAATGTTCTTTCAAGAAATATGCCTCTATGACCCTTGAAGAAGCAAACTAATTCAAGATCAAGTCTCGACAACCCTTGAGTTAGAACATTCACATTGCAAGTCTTGAAAACATGTTTCCTATATGTGACAAGCACATGCCTACGACACGCCTTGAAGTGGGGGCATTTGTAGACATGTAAATTTTGTTGCATGCAAATGATGCATCATAAAGCTTCACGTGGCATATGACTCATCATAAATGGACAAGTCATCAATGACATATGGCACAAATCAAGCAAAAGAAGCTCAAAAGCATTCTTAAAATGCAGCAAAGGGGAAGAAATCTCCTTGAAATCGGCAAGGGCCCAAATTGTTGCCAAAACCGAAAAGAAAGCTAAAGCATCTTCACAAAACAAGCAAGAATTGAAGATTGCTCGCAAAATAGGCAAGAAAGCCCTATAGATATCGGCCAAGCAAGGGAAAGTGGCTGAAATTAAGATACAAAACATGCCTAAATTCTCACATGGACAAATCAAGTTACAAATCAAAGCCAAATCGATCCAAAGGCAAGCTTTGAGAAGTCTATAAATACAAGATCCTCAGACAAGCATAAAGGTCGACAATTTCTACATTCAAAGGCCAAAATTCTCACATTGAGAAGAACCTTTGCCAAATCTTTGAAGACTAATACGCTGCCAATGCTCTCTTCGAAGAACATACAACCAAAGCCGAAGTTTTCTTTCAACCAAAGCCAAAGCATTCCCTTGAAGAATCAACAAGCACTTGTGCCGATTCCTTCAAGACTTTGTTACAAGCTCAAAACTTGTAACATTGTTCGATTCAAGATCAAGTCGCCAAAACCCTTGATTTAACAAAGTCCTACATCAACATCACCTTTGTCGTAGCCCTAAACCTGAGGTGAAGACTATCCACACACTGTTTCAAGCTCAAAACTTGAAGCAATCGTTCATTTGAGATCAAGTCATTGCGACCCTTGGATCACCAATCTACGCATCTACATCAATTTTGAAGATTGAATCAGAGGAAAATTGTAAACAGAGATTGTAACCCTACAAATTCATCAATACAAATCTTTGTACACGTGTTCTCGTTTCATTCATTATATAATTTTCGTGTTTACAGTAATATAATCATAAAGGGAAAAGATTTTCTAGTATCCTAAATATAAACTATTTAGGCACCAAAGCAACAATACGCCTCCTCATCTTCAATGGAATTTCATCCTCATCTTCAAGATCTCCGGATGTTGATAACTTAACTGTATTTGGATCATCCTTACTTTGGCTCTGGAAAATTATGGTCCCACGACTACAATAAAAATTCGAAACAGTATCAAGATCATTGTTCTAAAAATTTCCCCTAGCGCCGCTAGGCCTCGCCTAGGTGTTAGGTGACTGGCCACCGCCCCGATTAATGACTAGATGTTTGAAAATTAAGAAAGGGTGTCTAGACCTGCTAAGGTGCCCGCCTAGACCGCCTAGCTCACTCAGATCCGTTTAGGCACCCGCCTAGGTTGCGACTCACCTAGAAAAAAAATAGATAACTTTCATTTTGTATTTTATTTGTTTCAATAAATTGTAAGAGACTTGTTGAATAGTTAAATAAACACACATTATATGCTTGTTCCCCATGTTTTCATGATGTTCCAATACTCCATAATATATATGTCATTCTATTTTGTAGTTTATGATTAAATTATATATATTTTAAGTATAAATAGACACTTATTTACATGAAATATAATAGATTTACTTAAATCCGTCTAGGCACTAGGCCCCAACTAGCGCCTAGAGTCTTTTAGAACCTTGATCAAGATTATTTGGCCAAATGGGCATCAGACTGGCTAAAATGTAGTCCCCTCTTAGCCTTTTTTTTAGCCCAGCTCATTAGTTGTAATAATTGGTTCAAATTCAAAATTTGAAAACATTCAGAAGTATTTAGGGGTCTATGTTTGACCCATTCGGTTGAAGATAATATGTAAGTATGACCTGGCATTGTTCATTTGAAAATAACTTTTTGAAGGGCTATAATTCTATACGGGACTGTATTTAGCCCTTTCAGTTGGAGATAATCTTATTGTTTAAGTCTAGTTTAATCTACATAGCATTGTTTAATTGGGTGTTATATGTCTCGTGCATATGCCACATCCATACACAAATTTAAATTTTAACAGAATTTTAATAAAATGACGATTTTGATTTGTGACACTCATATCCAAAACGACATTAACCAACTTTTAATCGAGGGATCATTTTGAGAAGCTGAGTCGATTTGATAATCATGTAATATATATAAATATACAAATACCAATGTATTATCATCTACAACACAAGTTGAGAACCAAAATAGTAATTACATAATTAACAGAAAGGTATAAAATCATTGATAATTTGACAATGATTAAATAATCAAATGTAGATTTCAATCGATGATCCAATATGATGGTTTATACTTTGTTAAGTTTAGCGAGCACGAAGGCAGTAGCAGACGTGATGGCTGGAATGAAGAAAGCATTAGGAATTGCACGAGGCATGATTCTTTGCTTGATGAGGAAAGCGGTGAGTGGAACACCAAACATGTATATGAGTGTGTCTTTGGCTCCAACACCAGTAAATCCTGTACCCACAATTATTTCTTGTAAAATCTTTTGAAACTCTTCCCTTTTCAGAGAGCTTCCCTTGCCATGGTGGTGTTCCTGCAGCATTTTTTTATATTAGTACAACGATATATTTTTACAAGAAGAGGAGTTTGGCTAAGCAACACAATGACCAACCTAATTTGGTATCGAATTTGTCATCCACGAGATTTGAACCTAAGATATCTCATTTACAAGTAAAGATAAATACTACCAAATCATAGTACTGAGTGGCTGCAACATATTTTAAAATGAATATTATTTTATCATATCATCGTATATATATGCTTGTGACGTAATGTCTAGCATATCAAACTAATAAATTATCTAAAGTTTACAGTCGGCGACCTAATAGTCATTTACAACATATAATCAGATTATACTGGTATATTATTTCACTTGTTATAATGGAAGTGAACAATATAGAATGTCCAACCACTTTTAGGATTTATATTAATAAAAATAGATAATTCACGTGTTATCGTAATGTATTTTGGGTATACTAAAAAATTGCTTCATATTTGGATCATACTTTCTTACAAAACTAACGGTGTCCTTAAACTCGAACATTTTGTGTGTGTGTGTGTGTGTGTAAAATATGACAAGCCCAATATTTATGGTACGTACGGTGGCAAAAATTAAGAACCTCAACAAGAATTGATGCTTACTTCGTATGCTTTCTTGAGTTTGCTTTCCTCTGGGACGCAAAATTGTGTGCTACCGAGCTGTTTGTTGATTTCTCTGGCAAAAATAATTATGGAATTAAAGATTAATTACACCAATTATTAGTATCCTCTGTATAGTCGAGATATATACTCAATGGCAAGCATATGAATGCAACATATTTTCTCTTATGTGCATGGGGTTGTGTTCGCATGGGTTGCACATCACACGTTCAATCTTATGACGCTATAACGACACTCTAGCAACAATAGCCTATGCAACAACCCAACGACACCGTTATAGGTTGTGCATGATCCAATCTTATTGTTGTTGTTGCAGTGTCATTATAGGCGTCAGATTGTTGTTATGGAGTTAAATTATTGTTGTTGTTGCAGTGTCGTTATAGTGTTAGTAGACCAAACCGGATCATGCGCGCCCGATGGCGCACAAAATCCATGCCCAGGAGAGAAAATCTGATGCATGCAGATAGTTTTCCAATATAAAAAATTAATGCGTAGAAGCTAAATGCAGAGATATCATGCATGCATGGGCTAAAATGACAGCGAGTAATTGATTATGGGATGTATATAGATACTCGACAGCTTCGCATATTGCTCTGTAGAATTCAGTTGTGGTTGGTTCCTCGGTGCCAGCTGCAAAATGAGTGTTATAGAACTCCTCGATTATGGGACTAATTTCTTTAATCTTGTTTTCCTCCGTTCCTGCACAATAAAATTAGTAGTTAAAGGGCTGTTAATCTGCAAAATATACATAAACTTAATAATTTGTGTTCCTGATGCTTCTATCAAATATAGTCAAAAGCGTTTTTAAGCTTTAGAAACCACATTATAGCTAGCTTGATACATAGAAGCAATCCTAAGCACAGATACCCTTAATTTCAGAGAGAGAGAGAGAGAGAGAGAGAGAGAGTGTACTAGGAGCCAATGTCTTGAGGGTTTGGCCCATTTTTTTATGTTTTGCAATGTTTTGCGCTGCCGATTAATACAGAGAGAAGAGCTATAAGCTTTGTATGTGTGTGTTTTAACATGCAAGAAGCGCATAAAGCATCAACGTGACTTGCCTTGTGGGGTGGAAATAGCATATATGCATATTATGTTATGCACTCATGCATTGCATGTAACACCATTGTTCAAGGCTTTAAGCAACGCATATTCCAAATTTCCAACTGCATAGTTTGGGCCTCACATATGGCTCATCCTCATATGTTTTTTTTTTAGTACAATCAATATTTTACACTAAGAGAATAAGAATAATTTGAACTCAAGACGTAATTAGTTTAAGAACAAGACATTAATTACCACGACTTGTTTGTGTACTTCTGAAATGTTGTCCTGTGGTGCAATCAATCAACTTTTATAACTACGAGTGATTGATCAGAAAATGAATCATGTAAATTAATTAATGGATAATGTTAGGGAGGCCAAAATTTTTAAACTAAATTTGTAAATCAAATGATTTGGTTGTTGATGATTGGATTATTACTTAAGTGTTGATTAACATGTTTATTTCCTATTGGCGACACACACTGTTCTAAAAATCCCCGCCTAGTGCCGCCTAGGCGCTAGGCGGCTGGTCACCGTCCCGATTAATGCACATGTGTTTGAAAATTAAAAAAGGGCGCCTATACTTGCTGAGGCACCTGCCTATGCCGCCCAAACCCACCTAGGCACCCGCCTAGATTGCGACTCACTTAGAAGAAAATAGATAACTTTCATTTTGCATTTTATTTTTTTTCAATAAATTGTAAGAGACATATTGAATGCTTAAATAAACACACATTATATGCTTGTTCCCCATGTTTTCATTATGTTCCAATACTTCATAATATATGTCATTCTATTTTGTAGTTTTTGATGAAATTACATATATTTTAAATATAAACCGACACTTATTTACATGAAATATAGTAGATTTACTTAAATCCACTTAGGCCCCATCCCACCACCCGACTAGCGCCTAGCGTCTTTTAGAACCTTGATATCACATCATTTGGTTTGCAAATTTGGTTTAAAATTTTGGTCTCCATAGCGTTACCCTTAATTAATTAATTCCTTCATCAACAATACTAAACTATTGTTCATATGTAAAATATGAATCTTTCCTTCTACAATAATTTATTTGAGCGAGCTCTCCTCTTGCACTTAAGTTTGAATTTCTCTTTCCACAAATTAGATTAATTTGAAGTAAACTATTGTTCATATGAAAAATAACTATGCTATACATCCTAATTTTTTTTCTTCTCATTTCTTTATAATATGATTCTCTATACAATAGCCTTGCCATAATAATTTAGTATCCAACTCGCCATCAAATAAATTTAAAACTAAGACCTCTTACTCACAAGTATAGAGGAATACCATTAAATCGTAATACTAAGTGACATTCACCACATAAGTTAGACAAAAAAATATTGAGAGAACAAGTTGGGTATAAGCCTTTTCCTATAAACTTCAAAAGGGGTGTGCTATCCACACACCCCCTTTTACTTCATACACATCCTCTTAATTTGCAGTCGTCAGATCAACTGAATTAAAGAAGATCAAAAGGCAGAACTTAACAAAGAATGTGTGAGAAGTAAAAAGGGGTGTGTGAATAGCACACCCCACTTCAAAATCCTTTTGTAGGTTGCCAAAAAGTTTTGAGGAATTTAGAAAAATAATGTCATAATCTTAATATGCACACTTGCCATTCAGATTGGTCTCTGCAAGATTATTGTGGCTTTCCCAGTCCTTCAAAAAGCTATAAAAATTGGGGAAGCTTTCCCGCTCTACCCCTGGTCATGGGTCCCCAAATCAGCTAATAAGGTCGCTGATTGGTTAGCATCCTTCAAAATTCGGGAATAAGTGTTTTTACGTGGGTCAATAAACCTCAATCTTCAATGGTCCATATTCTGAACAAAAATGGCTTACCATGTCCCCTTTGAGTTGGTTTTGGCCGGGTGTTGGGAAGAGACGCTACTAGTTGGTTGGTAGTGTCTTTTTACTTTTATCTTCCCAACACTCTATTTTGGTTGCTGTTTTGTTTTGTATTGTTGTGTTGGTAGGCTTCCCCTTGTACTCTGTTTTAGTAATGCTATTTCCAGTTAATAAAAAAAAAATGAGTATGCTTTAATAAATTAAATTTAAAAAAATTGCTAAAGCATCCAAAATCACATGACACGTTATCGTTATATTTTTGGATTTTTTTTTCCATGTGCTTCTGGTTTTGAATCTAGCAGCATATTTAATAAGGAAAATTAATGAAAAAAGCTTGAAAACTTTGAGTTCTAACGAAAATGACAAAATAAAGGGTATGTTGTAGGCCTATTCGATTGAATGATCTAGGGTTTAGAGAGAAAAAGGGGGCCGGCTGCACTTAGACAGAAGAGAGATTGATTTAATTGTGAGGTATATTTGATTCACCCCATTGTGCCTTTATTTATAGTAGTAGGATAGGTAAAAAGTTTAAAAACCTTTCCTTTTAGGATTACAATATTTAATAGGTAATCTACTCCTAATAGGAATATAAGATATATTCCCATATCTACTAGGATTTACACAATCACCTTCCTATTCTAAATATGATTGCAACACTCCCCCTTGAGTGTGTAAATACTCAACAAACCATTGCATCGGATCTTCAGCAGATAAGGTAGAATAGTTGATGAAGTCATCGGCACAACGGGTGATCACGAGTCTCAAATTTATTTGCAGTATGCATTTGTAGTAAAACTCACAAAAACCTCGCTATGGTAAAACCCAAGGCATGGGGAAAACCCATAGACTAAGGAGAAAAGTGAGAAGTATGCATAATGTCTAAAACAAACGTCAAACATGACGAAAGTAATGAACTCAACGGAGTATGATCATCCCAGGATGGGTGCCTAATTAAAACCTCGTTAGGTAGCAAAAACCAGTGGGAAAAATGCTCCTAATTGTAGGAAAATGAGTACATTAAGATCATGATAGTATGCTTCTAGATACCTTCCTAAGTTAGACATAACTTCTAAATAAAAGAACTACAAGCGATTCAACTCAGATAATTTTTGCATATCGATTCCTTGGACGAGCTTTTGAAAAGTAGACTTAGGCAATGACTTGGTGAAGAGATCAGCCATGTTGTCTTGGGAACGGATTTGCTTAACTTCAATGTTTTGATACTGTTGTTGCTGATGTGAGTAAAAGAACTTCGGCGTTATGTGCTTGGTGTTGTTTCCCTTGATGTATCCCTTCTTCAACTGCTCGATACATGCTGCATTGTCTTCAAAGATCGTTGTAGGCAGGTTAATGATTGATATAAAACCACTAGTGCTTCGAATGTGTTCCATAACTTCTCTCAGCCAAAAGCACTCACGGGATGCTTTATATAGGGTGAAAATCTTAGCATGGTTCGACGAAGTCGCAACTAGCGTTCGCTTGGTAGACCTCCAAGATATAACAGTGTCTCCAACGATAAAGACATAACTCGTTTGAGAATGTGCCCTATGTGGGTTAGATAGATATCCAGCATCTACGTAACCAACAAGGCGATAATCAATTTGAGGACCATAGGGGGTGGCAACACTCGAAGATTTGTTTGTATAGAACAAGCCCAAATCCGTAGTACCCTTGAGGTAGCGGAAAATGTCTTTAACACCATTCCAGTGACTGCGTGTGGGAGCATTGTTGTATCTTGCCAAAAGATTCACTGCGAAGGAGATGTCGGGTCTAGTGCATTGAGCCAAGTACAATAAAGCTCCAATTGCACTTATTTAAGGAACTTCGGGTTCCAAAATCTCTTCCTTATCCTCCTTTGGATGAAATGGATCTCATTTAGCATCTAGAGTCCGAACGACCATGGGTGTACTCGAAGGCTTCGCTTTATCCTTATTAAAACGACACAACACCTTTTGGGTGTAGTTCAATTGATGTACTAGGATTCCATTCGAACAATGCTCGATCTCCAAGCTAAGACAATATCGAGTTTTCCCAAGATCTTTCATCTCAAATTCTGATTTCAAGTGTGCAGCAATTTTCTCAAGCTCTGCGGGAGTCCCGATGAGGTTTATGTCATGGACATAAACTGCAATGATTGCAAATCCAGAATGTGACTTCTTTATGAACATACATGGGCATAATTCGTTGTTCACATAATCTTGACTTGTCAAATATTCACTCAGACGGTTATACCACATCTGCCCGGATTGTTTCAATCCATAGAGTGGCTTCCTCAACCTAATTAAGAGAGTGTTTCGTGGTCTAGAACTATTTGAACTAGTCAATTGAAGTCTTTCTAGAACTTTCATGTAAATTTCCGTATCTAGATCCCCATAGAGATACTCGGTTACCACGTCCATAAGCTGCATATTCAGTTTTTCGGAAACTACCAAACTGATTAGGTAGCGAAACGTTATAACGTCCATAACGGGGGAATATGCCTCCTCATAATCAATCTCAGGATGCTGAGAAAAGCCTTGCGCTATGAGGTGTGCTTTGTATCACACTATTTCATTCTTCTCATTACACTTCCTCAAGAAAACCCACTTGTAGTCAAAGGGCTTCACGTGGTGGTGTGTGAACGATAGGTCCAAACACTTTACATTTCACGAGCGAATTGAGTTCGACTTGGATTGCTTGTTTCCAGTTTGACCAATCGGTTCTACATCATCGACGGAACGTGGTTCAATGTCATCACTAAGCATGATGTCAGTAGCTACTGAGTACATGAATGCATCATCGACGATTATCTCATTCCTATTTTAAACCTTATCCAATACTGCATAGTGGACCGAAATCTCGCGATTCTCAAGAAGTCGACATGTTTCGTCTGAAGTATCACCGTAATCTATAATAACCTCATACGTTGGAACGGATGAGTGAGCTATGGTCGGATTCAAACTAGGGTCACTAGTTGGTGCCATTTTCCTCTTCCATGGTTGTGAATCCTTTGAACCAAGGAGTCTGCCACGCTTTAGGGTCAGAGTAGATGATTGGCTAGTCGCCAATGTACCTTGCCGCATGGAAGGTACGGCATTCTCACATTTGGGGACGATCAGGCCT